GGGATTGGGGGGGTGGGACTGGGGGAACTGGGAATGGGAACAGGGGAACTGGGAATGGGACTGGGGTGGGACTGGGGGAACTGGGAATGGGGGAAAACTGGGAAATGTGTGAACGGGCGAGCCCTTGAACCCACTCAAAGGTTTTGGCAGGGGGTGTTCTGTGGGGTTTTGTGGTGGGATTTTGTGGTAGAGTTTTGGGGTGGGATTTTGTGCTGAGGTTTTGTGGTGGGATTTTGTGGTTGGGTTTTGGGTGGGATTTTGTGATAGGGTTTTGGGGTGAGATTTTGGGTGCGGTTTTGTGGTGGGATTTTGGGGTGAGGGTTTAGGGGCTGTAATGCTCTGTCCCTGCCCAGGCCGCTGCACATCGCGGCGAGGAACGGCCTGGCCTCGGTGGTGCAGGCCCTGCTCAGCCGCGGGGCCACCGTGCTGGCTGTGGATGAAGAAGGTGCGTGTGCCCCGGGGCCCTGGGGGACTGCAGAGTCCTGGGGAGCGCCCAGAGCCCGGGAGGGGCTCAGCCACAGCCACCCGGAGCACCCTGACACACCCCATCCACACCCTGACACACCCCATCCCATACCCCACACCATACCCCATCCCATACTGCACACCCCATCCACACCCTGACACACCCCACACCCCATCCCATACTGCACACCCCACACCCCAACCCACACCCCTTACCCCTCATGGCTGGCTCCGTCCGGTTCCGGCCTGCGGGGCGCTGCCGGTGCCGGCCCGCGGGGCGCTGCCGGTGCCGGCCTGCGGGGCGCTGCCGAACGGCTCCTCCTGCCCCTACTCCAAGGAACGCCACAGCGCCATCGGCCTGGACGGCTGCTACTCGGAGTGACCTCCCTCCCCCCGGCCACGGGTGACCTGATATCTTATTCTATTTATTTAGAAATTCTATAAATATAGGGCACTTTAAAGGAGAACAAGACCGGGCGGGCCCAGCCTGGGGGGGTGGGGGTGAGGCCAAGAGTTCGGGGCTTTGTGTGGTCCCGATGGGGCCAGGGCTGTGCCAGTGCCGGTCCCTGCGCCCTCCCTGGCTGGGCAGGGCTGGAAGGGGCAGGGCTGGGGCTGGCACATCCCTGGCACGGAAAGGAGAGGATTGGGGCTGGCAAAACGTGCCCCTGTGCCCTGCCAATCCTCCCTGGCTGGGCAGGGCTGGAAGGGGCAGGACTGGGGCTGGCACATCCCTGGCACGGAAAGGAGAGGATTTGGGCTGGCAGGATTTGGGCTGGCACGTTCCTGGTACCCTCCCAACCCTCCCTGGCTGGTAGGATTTGAGCTGGCACATCCCTGGCATGGAAAGGAGAGGATTGGGGCTGGCACATCCATTGTGCCCTCCCAACCTTCCCTGGCTAGCAGAATTTGGGCTGGCACGTTCCTGGGATGGAAAGGAGAGGATTGGGGCTGGCACATCCCTGGCATGGAAAGGGCAGGATTTGGGCTGGCAGGATTTGGGCTGGCACATCCCTGGCATGGAAGAGGCAGGATTGGGGCTGGCAGGATTGGGGCTGGCACATCCCTGGCATGGAAAGGGCAGGATTGGGGCTGGCACATCCCTGGCATGGAAAGATCAGGACTGGGGCTGGCACATCCCTGGCACGGAAGGGGCAGGATTTGGGCTGGCAGGATTGGGGCTGGCACATTCCTTGCATGGAAAGAGCAGGATCTGGGCTGGCAAGATTGGGGCTGGCACATCCCTGGCATGGAAGGGGCAGGATTTGGGCTGGCACATCCCTGGCACGGAAGGAGCAGGATTGGGGCTGGCAGGATTTGGGCTGGCACATCCCTGGGATGGAAAGGGCAGGATTTGGGCTGGCACATCCCTGGCACAGAAAGGAGAGGATTGGGGCTGGCACATCCCTGGCACGGAAGGAGCAGGATTTGGGCTGGCAGGATTGGGGCTGGCACATCCCTGGCATGGAAGGGGCAGGATTTGGGCTGGCACAAGCCACCTGCTGCTGGATTTTTCCCTCGGGGGTTGCTGGGAGCCATTTCCTCCCTGGTGCTTTTGTTTCCTTCCCAGAGTTCTGTTTCCTCCCTGGCATCTTTGTTTCATTCCCGCTGTTTCATTCCCAGAATTTTGTTCCCTTCCCAACGTTTTTGTTCCCTTCCCAGTGTTTTTGTTCCCTTCCCAGTGTTTTTGTTTCCTTCCCAATGTTTCTGTTCCATTCCCAACGTTTTCCTTTCATTCCCAAATTTTCCTTCCCGGAGTTTTTCTTCCCTTCCCAAGGGAACAAAATTTCATTTTGGTTTTCATTTCATTCCCAGCATTTCCCTGGCACATCCCTGGCACGGAAGGGGCAGGATTTGGGCTGGCACAAGCCACCTGCTGCTGGATTTTTCCCTCGGGGGTTGCTGGGAGCCATTTCCTCCCCGGTGCTTTTGTTTCCTTCCCAGAGTTCTGTTTCCTCCCTGGCATCTTTGTTTCATTCCCAGTGTTTCATTCCCAAGTTTTTGTTTCATTCCCGCTGTTTCATTCCCAGAATTTTGTTCCCTTCCCAACGTTTTTGTTCCCTTCCCAGTGTTTTTGTTCCCTTCCCAGTGTTTTTGTTTCCTTCCCAATGTTTCTGTTCCATTCCCAACGTTTTCCTTTCATTCCCAAATTTTCCTTCCCGGAGTTTTTCTTCCCTTCCCAAGGGAACAAAATTTCATTTTGGTTTTCATTTCATTCCCAGCATTTCCCCCCAGCAAATCCCAGGAATTCCCTTCCCCTCCCACCCTCAGCTCAGCCGGGGTCAGGCCAAACCCGGGCTCTCGGCCGGGGTGGGAATCTGGGAATTTGGGAATTTGGGAATTTGGGAATTCGGGGATTTGGGGATTCGGGAATTCGGGAAATTGGGGATTTGGGAATCTGGGGATTTGGGAATCTGGGAATTCAGGGATTTGGGGATTTGGGAATTCGGGAATTCGGGAATTTGGGGATTTGAGGCAGGATTTGGGCTGGCAGGATTGGGGCTGGCACATCCCTGGCATGGAAAGGGCAGGATTGGGGCTGGCAGGATTGGGGCTGGCACATCCCTGGCATGGAAAGGGCAGGATTGGGGCTGGCAGGATTGGGGCTGGCACATCCCTGGCATGGAAAGATCAGGACTGGGGCTGGCACATCCCTGGCACGGAAGGGGCAGGATTTGGGCTGGCACAAGCCACCTGCTGCTGGATTTTTCCCTCGGGGGTTGCTGGGAGCCATTTCCTCCCCGGTGCTTTTGTTTCCTTCCCAGAGTTCTGTTTCCTCCCTGGCATCTTTGTTTCATTCCCAGTGTTTCATTCCCAAGTTTTTGTTTCATTCCCGCTGTTTCATTCCCGGTGTTTCATTCCCCAAGTTTCTGTTTCATTCCCAGAGTTTTTGTTTCATTCCCAGAGTTTTTGTTCCCTTCCCAGCGTTATTGTTTCATTCCCAGGAATTTTATTTCCTTCCTGGTGTTTCTCTTTCCTTCCCATCATTTTTGTTTCCTTCCCGATGTTTCTGTTCCCTTCCCAATATTTTTGTTTCATTCCCGCTGTTTCATTCCCAGAATTTTGTTCCCTTCCCAACGTTTTTGTTCCCTTCCCAGTGTTTTTGTTCCCTTCCCAGTGTTTTTGTTTCCTTCCCAATGTTTCTGTTCCATTCCCAACGTTTTCCTTTCATTCCCAAATTTTCCTTCCCGGAGTTTTTCTTCCCTTCCCAAGGGAACAAAATTTCATTTTGGTTTTCATTTCATTCCCAGCATTTCCCCCCAGCAAATCCCAGGAATTCCCTTCCCCTCCCACCCTCAGCTCAGCCGGGGTCAGGGTGGGAATCTGGGAATCTGGGAATTTGGGGATTTGGGGATTTGGGAATCTGGGAATTCGGGGATTTGGGGATTTGGGGATTCGGGAATCTGGGAATTCGGGAATTTGGGGATTCAGGAATTTGGGGATTTGGGGATTTGGGAATCTGGGAATTTGGGGATTTGGGGATTTGGGAATTCGGGAATTTGGGGATTTGGGGATTTGGGAATTTGAGGATTCAGGGATTTGGAAATTTGGGAATTTGGAAATTTTGAAATTTGGAAATTTGGGGATTTGGGCATTTGGAAATTTGGGAATTTGGAAATGTGAAAATTTGGAAATTTGGGAATTTGGGAATGTGGAAATTTGGGGATGGGGCTGGCACATCCCTGGCACGGAAGGGGCAGGATAAATTTGGAAATTTGGGGATTTGGGCATTTGGAAATTTGGGAATTTGGAAATGTGAAAATTTGGAAATTTGGGGATTCGGGAATTTGGAATTTTGGGAATTTGGAAATCTGGAAATTTGGGAATTCGGGAATTTGGGAATTCGGGAATTTGGAAATGTGGGAATTTGGGGATTCAGGAATTTGGAAATCCGGGGATTTATCTCCAGCCAGGGTGGGAATCTCCCCTCTCCTCCCCTCTCCTCTCCTCTCCAAAAAACCACTTGAAAACCCCAAATCCGCTGAAGCCGGCACTCCACAAATCCTTGGCAGCTCATTTTAGGGAAAATAAAACCAGGAGAAACGGGTGCCCCGCTGGAGCCTCACCCCCCCTTTGGGCACTTTAGGGATTCTCTTGGTTTCCCTTTTTTTTTCTTTTTTTTTTTGTTTTTCCCTTCTTTTTCCAATTTACCCGATCCTAAAAACCCTAAAAATTGCTTTTTTCCCCCTTGTTTGTGTGGCCATTTCCATGGGAGAGTCAGCGTTGGTTGCTTATTTTTTCTTTAAAAAAAAAGAGAATTATTTATAGAGAAACGAGCATTTACCTTAAAAAAAAACACAACAAAAACCATTTAAAAAAATGAAAATTCAACATTTTCGCCTTTCCTAAGAAACAAATGCACTTGCAAGCCCTTGATGTGTTTGGGATGCAGATTTTGGGAGTGGGATTGTTGGTTTTGGGTTTGGGTTCTTATTTTTCATTTGAATTTGAATTTTTTGGGGCTCCTGGCTCTGCTGCAGGTTCGAAGCATTTGAGGATGTTGCACTGCTCATGGATTTTTGGATTTTTTCCTTCTGAATTGCTGTGCCAGCATCAAAAATCAAATTTTCCCTCCTTCCCAGAGGCTGCTCAAAGCCAAAGAGGGGAGGCAGAGGAGAAGGGGCTGCAGGAATCCCAGGAATTGCAGGAATTTGGGGAATTTGGGGAATTTCCCTTTTCCCAGCAGGAATTCCCCCAATCCCCTGTCCCAAAACCCTGAAATTTTAGGGATTTTTTTAGGATTTTTTTAGGATTTTTGGGGGATTTTTTGGGATTTTTTGGGGATTTTTGGAGGATTTTTTGGGGATTTTTTGGGTGAATTTTGGAGGATTTTTGGGGGACTTTTGGAATTTTTGGAGGATTTTTTGGGGGATTTTTTGGGGATTTTTTGGGGGATTTTTTTGGGGATTTTTAGGGCATTCCCACCTTTCCAGGACGGGAATTTCCCATTTCCACCCTGCCCTCCTAATTTCTCACCATTCCCCTTTTACCAGCACATGGAAAACTCTGCTTTTCTCATTTTAGGGGATCTTTTTGGGGTTTTATTTTGATTTTTTGGGGATTTTTTGGGGGATTTTTTGGGGATTTTTTGGGATTTTTGGGAGATTTTTTGGGGATTTTTTGGGATATTTTTGGGATTTTTGGAGGATTTTTTGGGGATTTTTTTGGGATATTTTTGGGATTTTTGGAGGATTTTTTTGGGGATTTTTTGGGGATTTTTTGGGATTTTTGGGGGATTTTTTGGGTATTTTTTAAGGCATTCCCACCTTTCCAGGATGGGAATTTCCCATTTTCATCCCTACCCTCCTTTGGGAGAGGATTTCCCCTTTTTACCAGCACATGGAAAACTCTCCTTTTCTCATTTCAGGTGTTCTTTTTGGGGTTTTATTTTGATTTTTTGGGGTTTTTTTCATTTATTTTAGGTGTTCTTTTTGGGATATTATTTTGATTTTTTTGGGATTTTTTTTCATTTATTTTAGGTGTTATTTTTGGGGTTTTATTTTGATTTTTTGGGGTTTTTTTGGGGTTTTATTTTGATTTTTTTGGGGTTTTTTGGGTTTTATTTTGATTTTTTGGGATTTTTTGGTGTTTTATTTTGATTTTTTGGGTTTTTTTGGCTTTTATTTTGATTTTTTGGGGTTTTTTTTCCATTTTGCTCTGAGGAGGAAGCCCCCCCTCCCTGCTGGCCTTGTCCCCAAAGTGTCACCTCCACTCTGAGACAATCAACTCCAAAAGGGCTTCCCCATCCAAATAACCCTCCAAAAAATCCAAATAACCCTCCAAAAAATCCAAATAATCCTCCAAATAATCCAAATAATCCTCCAAATAACCCTAATCCCGTGATTAATAATAATTCTTTATTCTTATTAATTAACACTGATGCTAATTAGGGGAAACGAGGTTCCAGCAGCGCATCCAGGAGGGGAGAGGGGTGGGAAAAAAAAGAAAAATTGGGAATTTTGTGGCCTTGTGGCCTTTTTTTTTTTGGGTGTCCCAGTCTTGTTCTCCTTTAATTCTGT